CCAGTAACTTTACCTTTAGCTCTAATCAATGCTCTCGTGTTACCGCCCAGCACAGCGACAACTGGCTGGAAAATAATAAAAAACATTATCCCGGTGGTCGGTACAACTCTAAATATACTAATGTAAGCACGGTAAATTCCTTCTTTTGACGAGCTGAGGAAGTTAAACACTGGAGTTGATAAGTAAATCCTCTTGAGAGTACATTAAGGCGAAGGACTTGTATTTTATTAAAACATCATGGGTAAATAAAGGAGAGACAACGTTAGATGGTTTTCCAATATCATTGATTGGTTGTACAATGATGCCTGGCTCTCACAAGCGTGGATTTGTCTTCTTTATTTTCGTTTATTTACATTGAAACTAAAAGTGCAGTGTAATATCATCTATAAGCTGATTCACCGGCTTTAATAGAACGTTTTTGCTCAAGTGGCCAGCAGCCATGGAAACTTATTGGAACGAAGGACTGGTTTGGCACACCAACATGGCCGCCTACAATATGGCGGACGTGACGTCATGTGAAAACGCTTTATTTCTAAGTGAAGCAGCGCAGTACTGTAGAAAAGTGAATATCGTCTGTATTTGACTGAGCCAAGAGTTTAAGAGAATTGTCATTAGTCAGGCATAAGTAGCAAGCAACCATGCATTATAGCCGGAAATTACTATCGAGTTGACTGGCTACTCAAAGTGTCAGAATGACTAAACTGAAAAACCAATCATGAGGAAAAAATAAAGGAGCCCTTTATAAGGTAATTTATAGAGTATTTATAAAGTCAAATAGCAGCTACATGGGACATTATGTTTACATGTAACATCTCCTCTCAGAAAAAAAAAAAAAAAAGAAACAGACAAAGCTTTTCAGTGATACTCTATAAATTTTAGGCCAAATAATTTAAAAAGCGTGTGTTAATTCTTCCATTTCTCGTTGTTTACCAGAACTATGATATAAAACAGTAAAAAAAAAAAAGAAAAAAGAAACGAAAATGGTGGTTCCACAAAGATTTGGTTTGATCATCAAGTGAGTTGATAAAGTTAGTCTATAATTCTGTGGGTATTGATAGGCCGATCTGAAAGATGATATTTTGTTTCTATCAGCATTTTTCGGCTTTCGGTGTTGCCATGGGCAACAAATTGCCATGTTTTCAATAAAATTATTGGAATGTTGAAACGCCAAATTATTGGTTCTAAACATGGGTTTTTGCGTATTACAAATATTTTAGAGGGAAATAGTCGCCTAGTTTTCACCCAGTTTCGCCTATTTAGATGACTCGGTTCGCAAGCAAAGGGCGCTTCTGACAAGTTGTGGTTGTTAGAATGAATGTTTGCAAGTTTTGGGATCTTTTTAGAAGAATTTGATTGTCATTTATTTTAATGACGACAAGTTTTTCACTGCGGGATGTTCCGATAAAATTTTGAGATAAATGGAATCCAGTCTAATTTAAGATGTACAGTATAGTATGATTGGGTTTGTAAGCTTTAATAAGTAAATTTATCGCTAAGCGCCGAGCTGTTCGTTTCAACAGATTAATTACTTTCTTTTAATCTGTCATCATCTTTGGAAAAATAGCCATACCTATCAAAAGGAGTCTTTTTCAGCCATTTCTTTTTCCCTTCGAAGGATAAGAGTCCTTGTTTTAGATACTTCGGTTTGTGAACTGTTTGACATTTATTACAATATATTCTAACGTTCGATTTGATCATTAGAGGTATATAGTTTGTCTGCAGAAAAATAACCGAGAAGAATGATCATTGGAGTAAATCTGAAAGTAGATCGAGCAATTGTTATTAATGTCCACTTTAGGGAATCATTATTCTTAATATATTAATACATTCATATTAAACAATTACACTCACCTGCTGTATGCGAGACTCTGGAAGCTCATTGGTTGACTTCGATTTTGTTAAGTCGCTTTTCGGCCCGTTGCTGCTGCTGTTGTTGTTCGATTCTTGCAAACAAGCAACGAGCAAGCAGAAACAAGTAGTTAATCAATGCTCTTAATTTTTTGCTTTCCACTAGTTTAAATTTCTAGTTCGTCACAACTACAAGTAACAAATAATAACCTACTTTATTTAAGATCTTTTCGAAAAGAAAGGATTAAATTAACAGCATAATTCTGTCCATAAAAAAATGTTCAGTACAAATGATTTTCTCATTTTAGTTTTCATTAAATATATGACTTTCATCCGTGGATTCATTGAGCCAACTTGAAAATTACGATTAAGAAAAAGAAGAGAAAAGAAAGAACAAGAAAATCTGTGGGTTTAATGATATTTATATTCACCAAGCAGTCAATGTTTTTCACTTTACAGACGACCCAAATAGAATTGAACTTGATAATTTACATAACATAACATAACATATTTAGAGTAGCTAACAAGCTAATATCTTATAGAAAATATATATATACATTAAATGCAAGGAAAGAAAATATCATTTACAATTCACAATTTTAAGTTTAAGTATGTCAGGCAAAAAGAATCAACATGAAGGTAACGTCCTGTATTTTAGTCTTAAAGTCTGCAAAAAAAACTGGTACGAAAAAAGTCCGGCAGTGCATTCCACTGCTTAGCTGAAAAGTAAGAAAAGGAGTTAAGACCATAGGTAGTTGTTTTAGGTTTACTTGGTGAAAGAATGTAGTTGCCACGAAGATCATAGGAAGAGGACCGGAGTGAAAACATATTCTTCATATAAGTAGGAAAATGAGTGAAAAACAAACTCTTATATAACAGAATGAGGAAATTTTGAATGCGTTTGTTAAACAAAGAAGTAGAGCTGAATTTTGAGAGAAGAGTGTTGTATGGAGACGAGTAATCACCAAGTATAAATCTAAGTATTCTTTTATTTAAAGCTTCAAGCTTATCCGCATCGCGCGCTCCACAAAAGTGCCAGACAGAGGAGCAATAATAAAAGTAAAAGTAAAATATACGCTTTGTAAAGTTTGAATAAGATTTCCTTGCGTATGAGTTTTCTAAAGCGCAACATAACATCAAATTGATTATTAATCTTTTTGCATACATTTGATATGGTTTAGAAAAATTCAGATTATTATCTATTTCCATTCCAAAAATCTCTAACGTGTCCTTTACTGGGAAGGAAAAACCATACTCCGTATCACCGAGGATTAGACACTGGTGCTTGCTCTTATTAACTAACATACCATTTTCATGGTACCACTGATTGGCCACGCCAACATCATGAGATACGCATGCATCCAGAGCTGCAGGATCGACGTGGGAGTAGTATACCTGATGATCATCCGCATAAGCGTTCAACTTGGCCTTCTTGACGTGGAAGAAAAGATCGTTTATGAAAATGTTGAATAGCATGGGACCTAGCACACTCCCCTGCGGGACCCCACGCCTGACGCTTTCCCAGGTCGAAAAGGTGTCTCCAACTTTAACTCTCTGAGTTCTGCTAGAGAGATAGTTCCTAATTAGGGCACAACTTTTGTCGTCCATACCATAGGCCCTCAGTTTCGAAAGGAGGAGTGGATACTGAATAACATCAAACGCTTTGGAGAGATCCATAGAAACTACCGCAACAAGCTCCCCACTGTCACGCATCATTCTCCAGTCCTCCGTCAACCTTAGCAAAGAGGTCTCGCAACTATAAAACTTTCTATAAGCGCTTATGAAGTCTGATAAGAGCCCATTGTAAAATTCATACATCTACCCCGATAGAAGCCTTTCAAAAATATTGTTTAGAGCAGGGAGCACAGTTACGGGCCTATAGTTGATCTTACAAAACTCGTCGTCTTTTTGTACAGAGGAGTAACCATTAATGTAATATGTTATGGCTGCTCCCAAGGCTGATGATAATAACAGGGACAGAATCGTATTTTCTAAATTCAAACCCCGCTGGCCATTACTTGGATTGGCAGCCTTTATTCAGGCCTTCTATAAAGAGATATTTTTTGCGGTCTCTCTTGACAGCGTTGTATCTTGCTTACATGCCTATAAGTTTATTGCCACGCAACAAACGTTTGATGTGTTTATTTCCCGTTAAGACCCGGCGTTTGTTCGGAGCTGACGTTCAATTGAGAAAATACTGTATCACCACTATATCACCAAACAGGATTCGGCGTTGTTTGGACTTTTTAAAAGTTACTTCACTTAGGGACTGTTTTCTTGGAGGAATGAAGATCCTAACACCAGGAAGATCGCAGAAATCGGATCATCCTAGCGCCATATGTTTTTTCTGAATTCAGTTTACAGCCAAAGGATTATACTTGTGCCTAGCACTAGAAAAACCTTGTACAAGGATTTTCCTAGCTGAGAGGTAGTATAGGGATATTCTAGCCCAAGGAAGATCCTAGCACCAGTACTAGGGACAAACCAGGCAAAATTAGTGGCGGGTAGTTCTGTGGGTAATCACGGCAAAAGGCCGACAATTTCGTTTGGCATTACTAGTTGTAAAAAACTGCCAGCTGCTGCTAAAAGGTAGTTATGAACGCTATAGCGAGGCTTCTCTTGACAGCTGTGTATGTTACGTATATACCTAAGCGTATTATAACGCAAACGTTTGATAGGTTTATTCCCCTTAAGACCCTGCGTTTCCTCAGAGCTGACGTTCAATCGAGAAAATACTGTATCACCAAACAGGATTCGGCTTTGTTTGGTCTTTTTTAAAGTTACTTCACTCAGGGGCTGTTTTCTTCTTATATTATAGCTCTTGACTATCACTGAGAGGAGCTGTACATGAGGTACAATACAGGTCCCAAAACAGACTCTTGAGGCACATCAGCTGACAGGACACGCTTACTTGAAGTCACAATACAAGTAATTCTTAGGATATACAAAATTTAATCATATATTGAACAATTTGCAATGGTGATTACTGATATTGTTCACCAAATAAGTACCAAGTCCCAAAGATATATCATGTCTTTTTACTGAACAATATTCTATTCACATGATTCGTTAACTAGCCTATATATATATCACAGAGCCGCTTTGAAGCGGTTCAGGGCTGTCCACGGTTCGGCTTGGCGAAACCCGCCCCATTATAGTTTCATTATGAATTTAAAAGCAGTTCTCATGTTCTTATTCCGTCCAAAATAAATTACCGGATTAACAGAGGAGAGAATGGACGCCATTGTTAAACTCCAAGGAAGCAGAATAGAGTGAACGCTTGGATATCGGTTTCGAAGTAACACCATGAACGCAGCTGGCGAGATAGAAGCGAAAAGCAAGACGGTGATAATGCACATGTCAAGTGCTACCTTCTTCTCGCGCTGAAATACTGTTGTCATGTGAGACGGAATAGCAACAGCCAGATGGGAGTTATGACGACGAATAAAGAACAGAACTCTCATATAATTGACAGGAGGAAGTATCACAAACACCGCACCATAAATATGGACGAGAACGAGTCTTTGCCCAGTAGTCAAAACAAACTGAAATAAGATTGTCAACAGCAGCCACAAAATGCTCGAGAAGACAGTAACTTTTAGTACTCCTGCAAAAATGCAAAAAATTAGTTTAGACAGGCTATGTTAACACTATCCCGGATAATGCTAGCGCCGAAACCAAAACCATAGCGGATAGGACTCTCGTTCACACATGAGAACGGTGATTTCGGTGCGATTTTTGTAACGGAGCAAAGCTTCGCCGCGCCGATCTCGAAAGTGGAGCGTCACATATCGGATAGGTTTTGCGTCACACTCTGATGCAATGTGAGTTTTGTGCCTTTGCAGTCCATAATACAAGATATCTTTTCGTATCGGCACGAAAGGTTATTCGGAATGGTGTGAACAAGGCCTTACTTAAGCTCTGAGTGTAGGGCCATTAGCAAACAAACGAGGAACATTAGGCTGCAACAAATTTAGATGTCACGGTGTAGAACAACATCAGCAAAAGAAAGGAAAATAAAAATTGATAATTATGCGAAGCGAGTAACGCAAAAACCAATTGGTAGAAACGTTCCTCTTCAAGACATGAGTATCAGAAACGCTACGGTCTAGTAGAAATCTATTAAAATCGTATAAAAATTGATAAAAAGGTGTAATTCCTAACGAGGATTTCCTGATGTCAGTTCATTGTCTATTTAAAGAAGTGATGATGGGATTTTCCTGCAGTTTTTTGGCGGTGGACTAATGGTACGGCTAAGCTATGATGAGTCTAACAAAACCTTCAAAATTTGAATTGAATTATAATGTTATGGTTCAATTTAGAAGGATTTAGTGAGAGTCATTTGGGCGTGATGCTGCTAATAGGAAGCCTAAGCTGAAACGACGATGACAGTGAGAACTGGCGTCTTTTAAAAAGATGAATTTGCGCCCTTTCAAACTTTGTCGCGTCTTTGGGACCTTTTTGATTTTACAAATAAAATCAATTTCTCCCAGGGTTAATTTTTAAGGACTTTATCCAGGTTCAAAGAGAGAAAATTCGTCGTAGTATGTTCACGTCCTCCATAAAACGTTGTCTAAGAAGGTTTCACTTCGAAGTCGTCCAGTGAACGTCAAAAAATGAACTTAAAGGGTGATGCACGTGCAAAGCTGTTGTTTTGCTCAAAAAAAGAATTGTTTTTTGACGTTGTTGTTTTCGTGTTCGTCTTCGTCGTTGCTGAACCTCCCTAATAAATCTGATAACTGATAATAACCTCACCTGATTTCGACACCTCAGTTATATACACCAAAGGTCTAGACAAGGCGAATAGGCGATCAAAACTGATGATAACAATGTTGACGAAAGATAAACCAACGGTAAAGAAATAGATAGTGTAATACACGTCAAACACCAGAACTTGATGTAGACATGACTGCTGGGCTCTTTGAAGAAAAAAACGCCACACGATAAACATGGGCTGAGCAGCAACTCCAGTGAGGCAATCTGCGATGGCCAGGCTACACAGCAAAATGTTGCATGGCTTCTGTAAGGAGGGGGTCTTGATGATTGTAACAATGACGGCCAGGTTACTGAGGAATGCAAAGATGGCAGAAGATCCATTGACAGCAGCGAGTAGAATGTTGTTTATGAAGGCAGCCGAGTCGTTCCTCTGTATTCCAATCCAGCTTGGTAGTCCACAAAAGATTATCTCATTGGAAGCCATTTCGTCCTCTGTAGATTTAATGAACCGTTTTTCAATAGATTGAATAATACTGAGATGATCCTCCTTGCCTTGAGTGAAAGCGAGGCTGGAGGTGACCTTATTTTTAAATGTAAATCATTTTCTTACGCGTGTGAATGGTAATCAAAGTAAAAACTATGGGGATATATTGGTTAAAAAATAGAGAGGTCAGGTGATATGATAAAATGTAACATTTACTTAAAGTTGAAATGATCATATACCCTAGAAAAACACGCGTATTCACAAAGTCATCTTCTAAAAATGGCCACTCAGGGATTCAGCTAAGATATGATTTTATTATTGCTCCTTTTTATTATTATACTAAACACGGTGGGCGTATAGGACATATAATTATGAATAGGTAAGAACTACTTTTGCAGTTTTTCTTCCTTTGAGCTCAAACTTTGCAGGATGGTAGAACTTTGTATTCCAAAAAATCCTATTTTTGTGTTTTTCGATTTCAACGTTTTTTAGCGGGAAAATGACGTCACAAGATTGACAGCAAATTATAAATTTCAAGCTATGGCAAAAAAAATTAAAAAAAATTGAGAGAGCGTGAAGTGATAGAAACAAATGTGAAAAAAGTTTTTGAAAAGCCCAATTGGTTAAAGAGTTATTAAGCTTTGATTCTTGAATTTCCCGCCATTTTGTTACTATTTTCGAAACATAAATACATTTCAAGATGCTACATCTCCTAAAGTAATTGACTGAGTGACAAGAGTTGTTTTTCCTATACAAATCCTTCTACTTTTCGGCGGCCGTTGCAATCTCTACTCAGTAGATATATGCTTCTGAAAATTTACAGGTTACCTTATTTTAATACGCCCTTTCCGCCTGCTCAGAAAATTTTCCAAAGGCGAACTGTTTTCGTGTTTACATAAAGTTCATTACGTGATCGACCCGGCATTGCATTTTGGTATTTTGCATCTGTGGTCGGTTATGGGAGCTGCTGGTTGCTTAAGAGAGGTGGTCGCATATGGAGGTTCGACTGTAGTATAAAGGATGCAAAAAGTTTGAAAATGAGTCTATTATATACATGAAGACTTCCTTCTATGTAAAGCCAGTTCTTGCGAGGTTTAAATCACTGTAACACTGTATATTTTTACATTAAAGGTAATTAATTTTTCTTCTTATTATTTTCTTTTGTCAGGAACTAAGAATTTGTTATGGCACTGATTTTAAATTGATACGGTTTGTAAGCACGCCCAATTGGGACTATTTCCTGACGGCTAGGACAAATTGTCTATAATAATATTAATTTCGACAAAAAAAGTCATAGGACAGGTTTACCTGACAAACGTAACCTTACCTGTGGATGAACGAAGCCCTCGTTCCTTTTCCAGCAATTTTAAAGTTTCACTTGTATGTTATCATATGTGCGTACAGTCGTTGTTTTCGGGATGCTGCCAAAACAGAAAATGAGGAACTGGGAACAGGAAAATAAGAAAATGGGAGCCAAACGGAGAAAGGATGATAGGGATTCTGGTATTTCTAGGGATTGAGTAAAGTTTTACTCCCATTTTATTTTCCCGTTTCCAGTTCCCAGTCTTCCATTACCATTCTTCGTTTCCATAGTAAAAATACTTGTCAGCCCCCATTTCTCATGTGAGAGCTACCTTACATTAAATGTTTATTTTGTTTTGAGTAGATTAGCATTGAAATTCGGATGGTACGATAACAAATCACGTGTAGCACAAGAGATTAAGAGGACTTTAACGTGTAGCACACTCTTTTGTACATTTTTTTGCCGTTGTTGTCGTAACGTTAAACTTCCTAGTTACACGTTTTATGGAGAAAATGTTGTATGTGTTCCTAAAAAAAATTTGTTGCTTGTGTTCCTGTTCGCATTTTTTTCACTTCACTCATTTTCACCTTGCTGGCCACTGGCATTCTTCATTTTTTCTCCTTTTTTTTATCTCTGTTGCCCTTTTTCTCCTTGAGCTTCGCTAGCCTGTCGCATACTTCTTTCACGTTTTCTCTGTCTTTTTGGGTGGACATGACAATTAATCTAAGCTGAATACTTTAAACAACCGGAATATAGAAACAATTTCCGCTTTCATTTTGTCTTTATTGACTCTTTTATGGTCTCTGCTTCACATGACACGGTTGGCCATATGATTTCTCGCCAAAAAACCTCGAGTTGCATTTGGGTTGCCATACCTGTTGATTGAGTTATTTTACATTGGCATGCCTGTGGTGCGGACGGACGGACGGATGGACGTACGGTCACGTGACGACAAGTCACTTCCAAACGTTCTCGGATGCATAAAGATAACCAAATTTTCTTACCTAAGGTGCTACGCTATAAAGAAGGCTAAAAGACATCAAAAACACCCGGAAAAAAAATCAGCACTTTTTTTTTTTATTAAAGTCAGTTATTATAATGGGTATTCACTTGCATAAGTTTATATTTCGCTTTTCTTGTTTTGTTTTTTGTTTTGGTGGTTTTTTTTGTCTTTCCAGGCTTCTGGGTTTTTTGCTTACCTAGAACAAGTTAAAGCTCTTTTTTTGTGGGTCACTTTTTGCTGAGACAAAGAGGACTTTAATTCAGTAGATTTCCTTTTTCAGTACATTTTAAATCCTGGGTGGCAAACATATAAAACTCCTCTTGTCATTTAAATCAAACAAAGTAGATGTAGAAATCGCCATACTTGCTTTAATTTAGGGATAAATCAGTGTAAATAATGTAAATGCCGTGCAGATAGATATCGACTTCTTGACAATCTACTTATTCCTAAACTATATTTCTTGACTTTAAATTTTTTTTTTCGGGCGGATAATGGCAAAAATAATAATTAGAACTTTGAAATCTTCTACGAAATTAAGGATTAAAATCAAAATTACGTCGCCTCCCCTAAGAGATCCTTAGAAATCCGAGGAATTAAAATCACTTACATTAAAAGCATAACATTTGAAAATACTCACTAGAATATAATTAAGTCTTCAAAGATCTAGTATTACTTTTTTAAATAATATTTCATAGAAATCCACGAACGATTTCTTATTTTAGTATGCAGTCGCAGGGTTCGTAAAAGTCTTTGCCCACAAATATTCGCAGTCTTATATTAAAACGGTGTCTACCATGATCTTGAAAACCGATCAAGAAAAACTTAATGAAGGCGACATCTATGCAATCTTATGCTCTACCGTACAAAATCATTTTCTGAACGTGAATCTGAAACTTTGTTTACCTCCTCAATTAAAACAATCTTCAGTTGACAACTTAGTAAAGTTATCTTCGACTTTTTTTCACGGCGTATGACATCTAAAAGGGCAGTAATATTAGTAGTACTACTTGAAAAACCACCTGAAGTGTTTCTATCATGGAAATTTACTAATAGCTAGTGGCATGTTCTTTCTTATAGTAGCTATATGAAAACTGTTTACAATTGCAAAGGATGTATAGGAAGAAAGTGGACTGATACTTGAAAGCGTTTGGCCGACGTTTTAAAGATACGTTGTTCCATTTGAGAAAAATATAGATTTTCTAGGGTAGTTAGTACAAAGACTTGGGAGTACTTTCCTGGTACTAACCCTTTAAAAATAGGCGTAAATCAAGGGCACCCAACGACAATTTTTGGAAAATATCTGTTCGGAAGACGATTTGAGATCTAGAATTTTCGGAACATTTGTTGTTAAATTTCTTGCTTGCCCGCCTCCTAGGATTTTCGAACCCCCCCAAAAATGATATAATTGCCCATTTTTAACGGATTTTTACCCTAAAAAGGTCACCTAGAATTTTCGGGAGCCTTTTTTCTGGCTGAAATTTTCGAAAAAGTAAGTTTTGATCCCTATAATTTTCGGATCACTAGACTTTCAGCTAGGAAATCCGAACAGATGAAAAATTTTTAGGGCATAAAAATATGCGTATATCTACCGTTTAAATACTAAAATACGTTCAACATTGCTATGTTTAAGTGGTTTTGTGCCCCTGATCAATAGTTAATTTGATAAATTTAAAATATTTTTTACCTGGTACAGTAGCGTTCTAAAGGTAAACGCTCGAACAGCAGCCTTTAGAAGGCCCCTCCTCCCGTGGCGGATTGTTATAGTTTCAACTATTATTCCCATTTTATTGTCATTTAAATTGGCGAATTTTCAGGTTCTAATACCACTGGCTTTTCTGTTTGATCTCTAATACTTTCCTCTAATACGTTATATCTGCCTTTTGTTTCTTCCTGAGGTTAGATTAATAAGTTCTTTTTCACATTTTTACCTTTCATGCAAATTTTATATAGCGTACCTGAAAATTTTAATAAAAGAGTTTGAAATAAATTAAAAAGCAATTTAAAAAAGGCACAATTTGTAATTTATTCAGTGTTTCTTTGAAATATTGAATAAGAGAGAAGCGCGATGTGATTCATTGGTGAATCGAATCGCAAATTCCAGCGGAGCTCTCGCGCGTGTGAGCCCCATGGGTAAGAAAATTTAGTTATCTATGCATCCAAGAAGTTTTGGTTCTGAGAAAATCGTACATTCGTCCGTACGTATGTCTACCCCTTCATGTAAGCTGGAGTGGAATTTCGCATTTCAAGCCCCCGCGCGTTTCGGTGGTAAATCACCTGGCCACCCTGTTTTTTAATGACGAAATCTGAATGTCTACATTGACGTGGATAACAGATTAAGAGCTAGAGCTCGAGATGAAAAACAAAGGAGAACAATTTCGCTGGAAGAAAAACATGAAAATTTTATAGCGGTGGTGAGAGAATGAGAAATGCTAGCGTCCCCTAAGGTGAAAATGAGCGGCAGTGAAAAAAACGCGAACAGGAACACGGAAGTTTCTAGAAGTTTCACGTCGTAGTCGTGCAAAACAACGGCAAAGAAATGTTCAAAAAAGTGTGCTGCACGTGTAAAGCTGTTATTTTGCTAATTAGACCTATTGTTTTTTTCCGTTTTCGTTGCCGTCGCCTCTCAGCATTACACGATCTTATAGTTTGCTTGAGTAAACCACAAGCAAAAAATTTTCGCCAACTAAATCTACATATTATATTTAGAAAAATAGCGGGAAAATAGCAAGTAGATAGGATTCACCTAGGCCGACAAGCAGACAAAGTAAAGCACGACCTCCTAATTCTAGGGAATGCTTCTCTGACCTCAACCCTCTGAGATCTGTCTGAAAGGTCATCCTTAAGAAAGACCCAGATTTCCACGTCTACGCCATAGACCTTGAGCCAATGGCCCGAGCAAAGACCTTGAATAAGTTCATGGACACCACTGCAGCCAACAAGGCGATCTCGCAGTTGTAGAACTTCCTATGTGAGGTACCATATACTTCCGCTTAAAAGACTCGATTTTTACGACGTTTTGAAGCTTAAAAAAGAGAGTAAATTCAAAGAGTGTTTTAATCAGCACCGCTAAGAAGCTTGTTTTGAAACGCTTTTTCTGGGTCCAGTTATAAGCCCCCTCGGATATGAGCCCTCCTAAAATCCCTTAG